TGGTGCAGCGCAATCCATCTATGGTCCCTGTGTAGGCGCAGGCGTCCTGTGGCTGACCACAGTGACAGGCAAACCCGAAACCGGATGCCGCCCTATATATATATATACATATATATATATATATATATATATATATATACACATATGCTTTTCCGGGCATATGTGGGCTGTCTGAATGAGTCTATATGTGGTGAATTTCTACCTAAATTTTTTTGTTGATTCGTCGCAGTTAGACACAGTCAGACAGCCACCACACATTCGGGAAAGCGCTGGACGGCCGTTTCGTCCTATTGGGACTCGTCAATAGCGCGCACCCGCCGATTCCTGCCGGATTCGAACCCACGACCTTACTCTTGCGACTCGGCGACTTATGTCACTGTAACCTACCACTTTCCAGAGCTCCACATAGCCATACGTTCTCTTTTATGCTATCTGGCTGAATGGGTATACAACGTCCCTATCATCATTTTTATATTAATGATAAGCTAACACGCGGGCACTTCACATTTACTACGTTGCTAATTGTTTCACTACATTGCTGACTTTAGCACTGCTCATTCGGCGTTCCTGCCGCGTATGTGTGGTACTTACCCGATATGATCCAATAAAGCAAGTCTCTCAATATATTTGACGCTCAGTGGCTTATGGTCGTACTATGCAAAAGTTACTTGTCTACACACTCTAGACCGGTCACCCGGTCTCATGGTGCAACTTCCATTCTAGGGGACACCAACTGCAGGGTCATCTATTCCTGCTGATAAAGATGTTATAAAGATGTTAAGAGAGAGTTATTTTATCACATTTCACTTATTGTGGCGAATTCTAGGTTGATCCTCTTACGGATTCGATTCAGATTTGCGTATCGAGCTAAAGGGAATTTGTATTTTTCTTTGACACCTCAAGTAAGGGCAGCTAACTGGATCGTGGGTTGTGTTCAATTCTCAGAAATCGACGGCGGTCGATGCTGCATATGAATGCTGCCATATAAGCACTTGTTGGGTCGTAAAAGTCCGATAAGTTCACCTTCGGCTTGGTTGAAAGCCAGTTTGGTCGTCACTGTTATGGGGCAGCTTCCTCAACAGCAGTCTGCACTTCCAACCGTCGTCGTCATCAGTGAATTCGGACCGGAAAACGGTTTCGTATCTCGTGAGCCACGATTAGTAGGTGAGGCCTACATCCAACTCATGTTGTGAAACTCACAAATACTGTTAGCGGCTACATCAACAGTTGGCTGCTGCTTTTCAGTGCTTGGTCTTGCTTGTACCGCAAGACGTTAGAATATATTCTCGATTAATCGTGTCTGGTTTTCATCAAATTGATTTTGCTGATGTTAAAGTATTGCAGTGAGCTCCTCAATTAAAAACGACATTTTCGGGTTCTCTAATCACTAATTTTCTGTCGACGTTTTTATGGCCACCAATTCGCGCCTGGCCGCTCTGATTAGCTTTAAAAAATTGTCCCCTCCGGTTGGTCTATCAAGAAGAGAAGGTCATAGGTACCGGTTTAATGGCCGCCAGTCCCGAGCTCGTTACATTGCGCAGAGTACCGATATTTATTTGTTTGGGGAAACCTTTCTGAGCGTTCTCTGTTCTCCTCTATTCTTTCCTTTCTAATAATAGCATTAGATTGTACGGACAAGTTCTTTTGGTCAACGATCTGATAATTCTAATTCCTGGAGAAAGTTTGGAGTTTGTTCCTTGTAGGGTTTCCTGATCCCGTTTTTAGGACGTGCTCCTGCTAACCGTCACTGCTTCGATTCTCATGGGGATCAGTCGTTACAGCCCAGCACTACTAAATTCCATTAACGACCACCGTCTCTTTTGGAACCCTTCTTAACTACGCGTTCCTTCCATCCACTAAGGGGCTTAAAACCGTGCTTGATCTGAATGTTGTTGACCGCCAGATTGGATTCAGCTCTTAATTTTCTCTGAACCGTTATACTACTACGTGGCCGCTAAGTTGCGTAGTATGTTCATAGTGCGAAGCTTTGAAGCAGTTGTCACATGGCCATTGTCCTGATAATTTTACACTACGTTCGGTGGTGGCGGTCAACTCGCTTTCTCAGTGCACCACCGCAGCGTATACAGCAGTTCTCGCAGTAACGAGCTGGCCAACACTATTTTTTGCGGCTTACTTCCGCTTCGGTAAAGGATGAATTCCACCATCAACGGAACAATATCCTTCGTTACAGAAGAAGTATGGATAGTGTTTGCTGGTGATCTAAACGCCAAAGTCGGAAAATTATTCTTCGATGAGCCTCATCTGGATGACCAACATGCTGTAGCTTAGGGCATTAAGGTTTTCAGGTAAGTCCCTCTTCTCTCCCTCTTCTTATTCTTTATTTCATGTCCTCATGGTTGTATGGCAGCGAAGCATCAGTTCAAATGGCTGATGTACTGCTGTTGATGGTTGATTGATTGTAGCTTCCCGTAATGATAACGGTGAGCGATTGCTACAGCTGTGTGAAGATGCTCGTCTCTTTCTCGCGAGCACTAACTTTCGACACAGCACCTGCAGAAGAGTGATTTGGCGCCCCCCAGTCTAGGACCAACCATCGACACAAATCGATCGCATCGCGATCACTTACCTCTGGAGAAGCTGCTTTCAAAACTATTGCTCCATTTGGAGCACAAGCTTGGACTCGGACCACGCTGTGTGTGCCGACGTTTGGGTGCGTTTCGGCGGACGTCCGCAACGTCGCTGCCACCGCATGGATACCAGCCAACTGGCGAATTCAGGTGTTCTGAATGTGTATCAAAGGACGCTGGCGTCCGTGTTGAGTAGGCGCCCACTAAACACCGTTGACGATCATGGGTTGCATATTCGTCAAACGTTACTATCAGCGGGCATGTCTTCATATGGCAAGTCAAATTGCCAATCTAGACCATGGGCCTCTACGCAGTCTCTGGAACTTAGGGATGCTCGGCGACTTACTCCTGCTGGAAGCGAATACAAGAAAATTCGCAAAAATCTCCGAGCAAAATTGCGTGCTAACCTGAAGAGAGACCGTGAAATCTGATGGTCTCATCGTGCATCGGAAATGGAAACAGCCGCTGTCACTGGTAATCATCGTGTTTTTCCGTCTGACACGGGAAACATGCAGCAGGAGACCTGGTGTTAGCAGGATTATACGCGGCGAGAGTAAACAGCTGATCCACAGCTTGACAAAACGCTTGGAGCCGACCTCAATGGCGTTTATGTTGTGAGTTTCTTTGTCCACTCCTCCCCTTTAGATTCCCCCTTCAATCACGATCACGTGCGAAGTGCATAATATAATATTTATCCTGATATTGCTTGCTTTTTGAGTTCTTTGTGCTCTAAATTTTCACTATCTTATCTTTTTGCATTGCGGCACATCATCAGTTGGGGTGTGTTTCTCACCCTCATCTGACGTGTGTTGATGATAATGATTGATTCCGGGAAAGTGCAGTATGCGGTTAAGCACACTGAGGCGTCGTAGGCCCCCTGAACAGATCCCTTAACAGACCGAAAAGCACGCGTTGTATCCATACTGTGGCCAAACTCGTAATGGCACACTGGAATTCAAATGCAGCCCAGTGTCTTCATTTATGTGGCTTACGAAGTTAAATCTGAGAGACGGGTAACGAACTCAGAAAAATGATCATCGCTGAATGACACCCACCAGTATCTCGACTGGCTCACAAGGTAGTGAGGTGAATGAAAGCTTACTTGGGTCGACTCTTCAGACCCCCAAAATTAAAAGAAACAAGCCAGTTCAGGACTTTTGTCACAAAATTTACTTGTCACCTACTTCAAGCCGGCCACGTGCAGTCTTACTAACTTTAGAATAGGAAACCGTCGTCAAAAAATACCGATTTATACTATTGAGTTGACACCCTTAGCACTAGATAGATGATGGAATCTAAATGTGCTGTCCCATCACCAGAGGTAATTGGTAGTGCTCGTTCTCTACGTCATGCGAACTAAGCCTGTAACTCGTATACTGTTCTGCAGCAGCGGTAAGGGAATCGAGCTATCACCATCTCCCAAGTTTATGCTGATGATAATTTTGAGACTGAAGTTATCTTGCACCCAACCAATGTGTGAGTGACTCCAGATGTACTTGGAATGATATGCTCAGCATGGTCTAATGGATTACGGAGGTGCTCATCGTACCGCCCTAATTTCTAGCCTTATTTCACCGGCATGACATTGATCGAAATCGGCGCCTTCTCACTTCACCGCTGTTCGAACATCACAGCCCTTACTGACAGATTGCTATGTATCGATGTACATCTAACCGGGTTGTCAGCGCTTAGTTTCTTGCTTAATTCATTTTGCGTTAAACCATGAAAATTATCTCGTCTTTACTGTCTGAAACGCTATCCTTCTTTTTTGTGCGATTACTTTGATTCATTCACTCACCTTCGTTCAAACATTGAAGTGAGACTGGTCTAGTTACATCTGCTCGCTTCGTCATGTTTCAATTTATTTTGGACACATAGTTATGCGAAGGATTAACAGGCGCCATTCAAATTGGCTCGACGGAAATCTCCAATCTGCGGGTTTGTAGCTTAGCATCTGGTAGCGAGGGGCCGATTACACGAGCACCACGACACCTTGACATTGCCTTGTGTATTGTCATCCCTAGCATCTGACGTTGCGTCCTTTGATCTTTTCGTCCGTAGAGTGCATCAACTTCACCAAAATGTTTAGCTTATTTGCTCCATGCTCCTCTCTGAACTACATCCAACGTAGCACACTTATCAGACAAAAAAGAACGAGTGTGCTAGGTCCTGAATTTGTGGGTTACCAACAAACCTACAGTAACGTGCTGCCTTCGAATGTGTTACGATATAAGCTCTGCTCATGTTTTGCTAACTGCGTACAAATATCTTACGGTAACATTTCATCAGTTGCATCTTTGTTCGTTTCTCAGAGGCACCGCTGGTTACAAATTTGTCGTTTTCGCGTGGTTGATGTAGCTGCAAATTGACACTGCTTGTTTTCGAACGTGCTCTTTCCTCCAACATTTTCAGTTCTTGAGCCCCCTTCACTTCTGTCCACTGATGCCGATTCAAAACACACATGCGACTTTTGTCTGGGTGATACTCGATTAAATAAGAAGACCGGCACTCCTGAGAGTATGCTACAGTGCTCTGATTGTGGCCGTTTTGCGCATTTCACCTGCCTGCAGTTCACTCGAAATATGGTCGTTTCTGTCCGCACTTACAAGTGGCAGTGTATTGAATGTAAAACCTGTTGGCTTTGTGGAACTTCCGAAAACGATGTGAGTTTTCTCTCTGACCTGAATTTCCACTGATCTGTCGCAGAAAGTTGCAGCCCCTGCTCTGTACTTTCATCTAACTGTCATACGTTATTTGGTAGATTATTTATAACGGCTTATCGCACATGTGAGTTTGTGGGTTTGTTCAGTTCATTGCAGTTGCACAACTGTGATCTGAGTACCGATGTACCGTAGACCAGCGTCGCCAGAATAACAACGCTAAGAAAATAAGGTTATGCGCAAACAGAATACCGTGCAGACGGGATCAAGAGCGAAGTGCATAAAATTATTCAGAATGGAATGAAAATTAACAGCTAGCTGCAGGACACGGATTGTAGTAACGCCACTGATTGCGCGACTGTGCGGTGTCTGGTAGAGCCGCCGGGGAAATTAGCCCAATATCAAGGGACGCAAATCAAAGGTGTCAGTTCCAAGAAGCACCTGCTTGTCGGTCACGTAAGAACGATTCATTAGACAAGATTGCCCAACGCACGTAACCGCACTGACGACGCCATCCCGTGTGGTTGCGAAACGTATGCACCCTTGTAATCAAGCTCAGCGAACCAATCAGCAGATGCGCAGTCACTTGCCACGTCATGAAATGGTTACCTCGCGGTTTCGCCCAACTTAGTGAAGCCACGGTATATACTACACGTCAAGGAAGTCGATCAGTGGGCATACGGAGGACATGACCTAACCATCCTAAACGGCTGAGATTCAGCAAACACTTGAGTGAGGTACCAGAAGGCTTATCATCAAAAACCAATTGGCAGACCTCAGCATTCCTTACACGCTGTACCCACCAGATGCGATCAATACTCCGCATGCACCGGTGATCAAAGACGGCGAAGCGTTAAATGTCTCTACTGCGAACTGTACACTTTCCTGATCCACATAGTTACACCGGCTTTCTCGCAGTGTTTATACCCCCTATCTTTCACTGACAGACTGATATCCCGACGTCTCCATAGGTGATAGAACCTCTGAAATGCCACACGGGCCTTGCTGATATACGAAGCAACCCGCATTAACCTGATCTCCTGTGGTGACACAGCTACTAAGGTAAGTGAAGCGATCCACCACATCCAATTGCTGTTCACTGATAGATAAAACGAGTGGTGCATCTGTCCAATCTTGCAGTACTACTTTGCACTTTGAAGGTGTAAAACAGATGCCGAAGCGTGCAGCGCTAAGCATCACACTATTTAGTAGTGTTTGCATAGTCACTGCGTCAGACCCAAGAAGAGCTATGTCGTCCGCATACTCCGGGTTTGTCAGTCGGTCACTTGGCAGAGCTTCCAGTTTGAAAAAGTCTGAAATAATAGTTTCACTCATGATCATTTAAATAACAAAGTTGAATTGGAAATCATCTAGGGCAATCCTGTCAAATCTCAGTTGTAGTGGGGAAATCAGGAGACGCCTTTGTGTTAACCTTTACCCCATCTCAGGAATTACGGTAGAGAGACTTCAGAATATAAAGGAGTTTTACAGGCTCGCTTCATGGATATACACTACCATAAGCTGGCGCCAGCAACATAGTCCAAAACAGTTTTCGTAATAACTACCATAGTTTATCATCTATAAGTGTACCTATGTTTTACGCCTTGCCGGAGTGTAAATATATGGTCATTGCAACCACAATAAAGGCTTTCGGTGATTCGGCTGTCACTAAGACTAGGAGATCGTCAAAAAATGACACCCATGGACAGTTAAGGGGCAATGGAGATATGACTAAAGCCTCGATAATTTTCCCACAAAGTCCTTCGATCGTTTTTAAGATGGACACGACAGTTGCCAATCTGTAGGTACCTATTCATTGTGTCGAGTAGTTTTGAGTAGTGCGGCATGTCTAGTGAACAGTGAGTCATCTTCATATTTCGGCAAAAATGCGGGTAGGTCGTCGGCTCTAGGAGCCTTGTTTCGCTTAGACACGGCAGGCTCTTGTCCATTTTTTCCATAGTGAGTGTGACAACAACTTTCCTTGTCGGTTCAAGTAATTCACCAAGCGGCAGTATCTCACCAGGTCTGCTGAACTGCTTTTCAAAGTGTTTGTGGATAATATCGTCTCACTACTTGATTCTCATTCAACACACGGGTTAGTTGCTGTGGGTCCCATTAAGTGAACCCGCGGTGAAATAGGATTGCGTCACTGCAGTGTCGTTGCACAGTTCTTTTAACATTTATTCATGCACACATTCTATCAGCGTGTAAATCAACTCAGGCACAGTTTATTCACCTTGCAGTAGCAAATGTTATGCCCATTAGATGGAGTCATTTCTCATCGGACTTGTTCACTCATTGAACCTAGCACCCATTCGCACACCCTTGGTCATGCCGTTCTCATTCCCGTTGGTATGTTGTTTGACCTGAAACAGTGTTGTTACTTGATCTTACTTTTGGTCCTGTTTTCATTTTGTTTTCCCTAGTTGTCTCACGCACAATCCACTCACACTCGCAATTTGGTTTGCCTTCTCATCTCTGGTGTTTCCAGTATGCGTTGTATGTTATTCTACTCCATTCATTACGGTCCGTTTACCCGGGTGACACTGAAACATGTCTTATTAGTATATTCGGTAAGCGCCTAATACTCTTTTCTTGTTCATCATAGGAGCAAATGTTATTCTGCGATGATTGCGATCGTGGCTACCATTTGTACTGTCTCACTCCGCCCTTGACTGAACCACCAGAAGGTAGTTGGAGTTGCAAGCTCTGCGTTGAACACTTCAAACACCTTGCCGCCGCGTACCAGAAACCGGAGAAAGAATGTGAGGTTCCCATTGCCTACAATTCCGTGGGCTCAGGCGTCTGTGTGCTTGACCCACAGAGGAGACCTTTCGACGCATGCACTGCATCCACAGTCGCATCTTTGACTTACAACAGTCTAAGCGCTAAGCGTCACACAAGCTCCGCTTAAGCATTCTATGCGGCGAACTAACTGTGTTTTATGTGCATGTTTCTTACACGTGTCCAGTGTGCCACACTCATCATACCTTACCGTAAGTGAGATTGGATCGCTCTTTATTTGCGCACGACTGTAGTTGGCACAAGGACCATGCAACTTCTTGCTTCTTACTTCGTTTTTACGCCTTACACAGTCGTCTCAGGCTCGCGTTTCATCACGCTGGATATTAAGATGTTTCTGTTATGTTCTTTTCGCATTTTTATAAACTATTTTTTCTAACTATTACAAATAGATGAATTGTGTGTACCACATACCTTCGGTATGTGGCGTACACAATTATTTTTAACGACTGCAGATATTTTTTCAATTCAGACCTGCGCATGATGCTTTTTTCTCTCCGCAACGATCAGCTCGTTCGTAAAGGCATCATGATTCTCGTCGTTTACCATTTTGAATTTATGTATGAGTCCGTTGTTCTGTGCGCTTTACATTCGCATTTTTCTATCTGAGCACGCTCTTATTTTCAAGATTTTCTCCCCTCAAAGCAAAGGGATTTGTGTGCCAAATTTTTGCATTAATTTTATACTTCTAGTCGTTGATTACATTGCGTCCGACTTTGGTTTACTGTCACTACCGTTTCTGTTATCAATACCAACGTCTTGAATCTTCTGATGGAATGGGCATTTCCCTGTCTCAATCTAGCGGATTCAAAGATATGTGCCCCTTTCTTGTTCATTGGTGTTAAGGTTACCTAGAACATCACAGTCATGCATTACACAGACGAATTATGATAATGAATCGTCGCGGTATTTCTCGATCGGACTGCGTACAACACAATGTAAGAATTTGTGCGACTTTACCGGAGTTTAACACATCATCGACTTTTTCTCCGACTATCAAGTTGGTTTGACCTACGGAACTGTATTTTTAATCACTGCGGATTCCTTGTCGCCTCATCTCTGGTATAACATGGTCCCGAAATTTGCATAGAATTCTCGACGCCGTACAATCACGTAGCCCCATGCAATCTTATGGCGACGTATGCGTTGGCGAGGGTTTATCGTTAACTTATCCACCTTGTAGTAACTAACTGAAACTTGCTCATGCTTGTGATAATGGAGTCACTCGATATCAATAGACGGTCACCTCTACTCGCATAGCGTAGGATCTATAAGAGGCGCAATTGGTGCTGCTTGTCCACTGTTTCACTGTAACCCAGCACTCGCCACGCTGCTTTTTTTGCTACAAATAACCCTGAACGCTATGTGCCTAGCCGGGCCACATTACTTCTCTCTATGCATCACAGGTTCATCGCACCTCAGAATCTCCTTATTTTTTGTATCTCTGTTACCCATTGAAAATGGAAGACACTGAGACCAGCTACCCTGAATAAAAAAGACTCGTGCCGTAGATTAGAGTACCTGTCGGTTCGCGAACCAGTGTTCACGCTGTGCTGTTGTGTGGGTGCGAATTCTGGCCGCTCCGGTTAGATGATATGCGTATCTTTCAGCCTTTGACAGTGGCTGTTTTCGGAGAATTGCCCGTGTATGGTGGCGAGGTCAAGTGCGCAATGATAATGTCGGACACCGCGTCTTAATCAAGACAGGTTTTCCCGTCTGTAAGCTTGTTCGTCTACGCCAGTTGTGATGGGTTAGCATCGTCCTACACATGCCTAATGAGCGTATATCACGCCGCGGCCTATTTGCGCTCACAGGAACACATTGGAAAAGATCGTGTGGTGGCTAGCCGACCACTTGGTGATGCAGCATGTGAACACTGATATCTTGTCTAACCATTGCCGGTTCAGTACATCCACCCGTTTGAGGACCCAAGGATGAAGAATGCCAGTGGCTCAGAACGCTCGAGATAATTACACAAACCCGGATGCAATGGAAGGAGTACACGCAAATTTGCATGAGTTCCCGATTTCAAAAATATGAACTTAAAAATGGCAAGCGCAAAATGGCATGGGATAAAAGACAAGAGTGCCGGTGTTCTTTGTTCTTTTCTAAATGTTGTACATTTTGCTCTTTTTCTTCGATTCATAAGTCCATGGTTTTGAATGGTCCGATGCCGTTTTAATAAACTGATATATATATATATATATATATATATCACAATATATATATCAATATATATCGGCGTCTTTAATTTTAAAGATGTTCGGGTCCCATTCACCGACTAAAGAAAACTTCAATGGTAGGGACTGACCAAATTTCGTGAACTTGTTGTCCAAGACTTTTGCCCTTCGTTGCTTGCTTGTCCGCGTGTTTGCGTCTCCTTGTGTGTGGTCACTTGGTAAAAGGCTTAAAATGCGTTCCTCGCAGCTGTTATACACTATTTCTGACATCGGTTGCCGTTGGTCATGTAGAGCAAATATTTTGAATTCGTTGTGACCATCCAAGAAGACGACTAGCAATCGACCATTGTGACCATCAGACATACGAACGGTCGTGACAGATCTTTCCGTCCCCGAGAATTTAGGAGAGTGAAACGAAACAGGTTTTTGCACAGGACTGAGTGCGGCGCAGCCTACAATTGGAAAATGCTTTTGTGGGTTGATTCGGACAACGACTAGCCAGGGATCTGGGTTTTCTGTTGTATGTACGATGACGATCACGTAACTTTTGTCTGCAGTGATTGTTGCACGAATTATGTGCGGCATAGTTTGTATTCCGGGCACCAATTCCGGGGCACATAGAGCTGCCAATTGATTCCCGTTTATCAAGTTGTATAGCCGCATCGAGGCGTCTATCCCCAACTCTCCGTCCGGTGTTACATCGAGAAGCTCATCCGGTATGTTGAACTGCGATATCAGAGACGATCGATCTGATTCTCTCTTCATATCGATCACTGCCACTTTGTAGGGTTTGAGTTTGTTCGGGCACACATATTGCAGTACCACCGTGGTGATGTTTGCAACGCATGTGAACACTTTCGAAAACTGCAGAGATCTCATATGATCATCTTGTTGCCATAGCAATTTCTTCATATCGGTTTCGTATGTGCAGTTTGTGAACTCCGGGGATTGGAAAATACGCAGCCACCTACCAGACGTACCACAGCAGATCAGCAAGGTGTCTCCCACGATCTGCGAACCCGGCAGAACTGGATGATCCAGATATGCGTTACTGATGAATTCGCCAGTTTTTACCGAGTAACGGGATAGAATAGCCTTCGGTGCGAGCTCGCCGGGGATGTTAGATGCGCGTGATCCCGATAGAAAGGGTTTTAGCTTGTTCTCACTTGCGTAATTAGAACGGAGTGTGAACAGCCCGTGTTTGGAGCTGAAGTGAAACACGGTTTCACCAAGAAGTGAGATTTGGCAACGTAATTCTCCTCCTGATCTTGCATTAGCAATTTCGTAAATAAGAATAATAGTTTGTTGGTGTGCCAAATTTTTGTACATAGGTTCTTTGTTGGAATCCATCAGCATACGTTCAGATGTGTAGTAATTCGTTTGTGGTAAATGTGGTTTTACATATTCCTCGGTGAAATAGGCCCTGTACGGTGCCATCATTTGCGACGTTCCGTACCTCATATAAACTAGTGCTAAGAATTCGCCATCTTCACTAACATAGCCCTCTGACGGATTGGGATCTAACAACGTCCCACCGAGGAAGAGCTCATTGTCAATCTCATGCTTTTTGTTGACCACTTGAACAACTTTTTGTGTGACAATATTGAAAAACGTGAACAGACTATCCTTTTTCCGGTCTATTGAAAATACTATATCCAGGTCTTTGTGGTAGGCAGACTTCCCCAGTCGCGTTCCAAGAGAACACAAAGATGTATCGAGTTCCCGATTGCTTTCGTGTGTTAATGCCCACAATGGAGTCGCTCGTAGTTCACCTCTGCTAATGATCATTACGTTTCCACATCGAACGAAGAAACAATCGTCTATCGGATGGCCAAAGCTCGTTAGTCGGCGAATCCGCTCGCCGCGTGGTACCGCAAATTTCCCTACCATTGACTGATTGTGAGTAGATATCGCACTGTGTCTGCTAGACCTCGGGGTTATATCCACTACCTCGATCCATTGGCATTCAGAACTAGACTTGACAAAGTGTAGCAATATGTTTGAGTTGAGATCGGTACCGAAGCGAATTTCGCTATCTTGCCATGCTCTCACACTGGTCGTCATACTAGCCGTTCCTGTGTGCCATATTCCAATAAACCGGGGTTTGTTTTGCAGCGTGTACAGCACAGCTACATGTCGATCATCACCTGACAACCAGAGGCGACTTGCTGACACTTGCGTAATCGAGTCGTAGATAGGGCGAAATTGATCTGAATCCTTTAAAAGGTTGTGCACTTCCGGGGATAGAGATGTTGTATCGGCATCTGCAGACCATATTTCTTTCAACTTCTGTTCTAAACTCAGTTCTAACGTCGGTATCAAGCAATGTGCATCCTTTTTGTTTATCTAGTGAGAAAAATGAACATACACTGTGTTGTGTAACTCATTGTGGAACATTGCGATTTATCGTCTACGCAGACTAATCCATACAAACCGTATAATCTGTTCACTTATGCAGTGTGTGTTATTGGGAAGCAGTGTCCGTATGGACCTGATAGTATAAGGTGAAGGCTAGGGGAATAACTTATGGAAGAATAGATTCTCACATCCCATATTCCTGTGGCTACCGTAATTAAAATAATGTGGTTGTGCTGCGAGAATAACTGCGCTGTATCCCAGCTGCTTACTGTGCTTCAGAGTGTCATAATCTTTGGCAAAAGAAAATCCACCTGGCCTTCGGTTGCTGGTCGGATCCTCATCCAATTGCCTGAGCACTTTTTATGTTGACGAAGGAAAGAATTGTGGTAGAAAGTGCCAAATGTTGTAGTTAACACAACCCGGCGTCGTGCCAACCCTTGGGGTTTGGCTGTTTAATCCTGTGATCAGGATTCACGGAAGAAATCGCCGCTTAGCGCTAGAATAATTAGGGAACTGGTCAAAATGTATACATGCACATGATAGCGGAATAATTTTCTCGAGTTCCATGGGTAGCTTCCTCCGTACTTCGCCGCGTGTATAATCATCTTGCGGGCTGTAGGTTCGACTACAGATGTTGACTTAATTAATTAATAAAACGTGTCCACACGTCTTGCGGTTATTTCCCAGAGCCAATATTACGATCACGATTGCTACTTTTGGTGAAAACTGCTCTACTAGGATCGGTGCTATCGGAAAGGGAAAACTGGTAGCTCATTTAGATTCGCTGTAACTATGCGCATAATCCGAACTATTCTTAATTTTTGAACCCTGTTGCAGCTTGGATGCTAATGAATTTGAGCAGAACAATCCTTCACAATATTGAAAACGTACTACCTAATGTGTCGAATGCATAAACATTTGATATTACCCTTGGATGGCAACCAGTAACGATATGCACTGGGCCGTCCAGTATGAAATCTTAGTACGTTCAAAAAACCACAGTTACCCTGATACCAGTTAGAAAAATGTTGGTTTCATGTCAGTTCACCAGTAGCTAACGTTATTGTAAATGCTTATCATTCGCTCTACTCCAGATTACAAAGTGGTACGTACCAACTTGAATTTCACCCTTTAGTATAAACAGAAGCTTTAGCTGAACTCCATATACCTACCTGATTCATTTCAAAACGGCATACGAATCCGTACCTCTCACAGCCGACATAAAGAAATTCGCCTCTTGTGCTACATTGTAACACTCTGGGCTGCTCTTTGCAGTCAAACCAAGCGATCGTTCTTTTTGGGCTATGCACCATCATAGCCTGTAGATAGGTCGTTCCCTTGCTGTAATCTATCTGAACAGCGTTTACTTTCTGCACTTTCGGCTGCTTCTTGTCGCTTCCTGTTGACGTGGCATTGAGCCAGCGGGCGGGAGCGATAAGGTATCTATCTCCGGTCACCACCAAACAAGGCATAAGAATCCCATCGAGCATATGCGATACAGGGCTTCCAGTGGAGTTGGAATATATCGTAGCTGATTCCTTCGGAGCAGAAGTCAAACTATGAGCGTAGGCACCAGTTGCGTTGCCATCATCATCCGCAAACGACGTTGATATCACGGCATAAAGTCTGGTTAGGCCACATAATTTGCACTCCGCGTTAGTTTTTAGACTAATTTTTCCGTCTATTTTTCCCATATCCAGATTGAGCACCAGAAAACCACAGTGTTCATTCTCCGGAGTGGATCTGCTTGTGTATTGGAGCAGAGCCATGTTGCTTACCTGCGCAGGAAAGTAAGCCCCATGAAAAACGGTGCGTGGCCACATACCCAGACTAAATATGTTGGATTTGGTCACGGTAGTTGTCTCCCATGTAATGACCATTACTTCTTGATCAATTTCAGGGCACGTAGGGTACAACGTGAGCAGAAATCTTTGGTCTGCCGTCAGAGCGACCAGGCTAGTTTCGTTTTCACTCACATAAGAGGCGGTGAGGAGGTCAGGCTGAACTGCAGGTGAATAACAATGTGGAAGCAATGGAACAAGACAGTTGGTCTTGACAGCCGATTTATCCAGACTACCTAGAAGCGTCCGCCCGAGGAATTGGTACCCAGACGCAACCAAATGCCCAAGGCGACCAGCCAATTCGACACTTAACAATATAGGATTGTGATTTACTTTTGGAGACAGCTTCTTTAGCAAGCTAAACAAATATTTCACTTCATCGCACGCATAGATTTCCTTCAATTGTCTGACGTAGTACAGCTCAGTGATTAGGTCAGCTACTCTTCCGCGTTGTAAAGTTTTTCCGAGCATAAATTCGAAGGAGAAGATAACGTATTTGTAAAGATCATCAATCCCTGCGGTTCCCATCTGCACCAGTTGATACGGCACTTCGGTTAAGAGACGGGAATTGCAGGTCCAATTGGTACGAGTCGCTGCAGAATTAGATGTGTTGTCGTTTGGTGAATTGGCTTCATTAGCTACAGTCCTCCAGTAGTAAGCAGATACCAAGTTAGCATCACTGAAGAGACTGTCCACCGGAGACGTGCTGTTGATCAGTTGTGCATACCTTAGCCTATAGTCGACCAATTTACTGTACGCGGATATGTCTTGGATAGATCCACGTTCATCCTTTATTTCCATATTTGCCTCAGCTTTGTTCGGTGTATGTCTCTGTTTCATCAACTTCTCTCTTGAAGCCCAAAATTGCAACGCACCTTGTCTCCCCGACTCATGTCTGAATGTCACAACGCATCTGTTATCCGTGTGCACTTGGGTGAGATGCTTGCTTAGACCGATACCTTCCGACCACAACAAATTCAATAAGCAACCCACTGGAAATATCCGATGCATATTAGAGGCGTCTTGTTCGCCACAGCTACGTTGCACTTCTTTATCCAGGCTCAGAACTCCGATCATCTCGGTTAAAGTGAGGCCGATGCGTGCACATGCTAAATAGAGGGTAATTGTGAATAGACTGCCAAGGAGGGGTTTCTCTCTCATCAAGGCTTCATACATTATTCCGAAGCGTAGGGCGAACAACTCAGCCGTGTCGGTGGGAAACGATTCGTTGTGCTCTGCATTTTGTCCAAATTGAAACGCGACCAGTACGTCTGTCGCTGTATCGAGAAAGAGAGGAGTGGTGTTTCTTTGGACGGCGTCGCTGGCCAATTCCGCAACATTTTTGTTAAGCTGTAACGCACCTGTTTCCATAAACTGTGCCCGAGCCGAAACACGGTTGTGCACCCATTGGGGAAGAAGGTTGGTGAGAACGTATCCAGGCTCGAAGCACGGACCAAAATGTAGGCAACATCCGTTTTCGTACCGTTTGCGAAACCCAGCTAAAACGCTTTCAGAGTTGGTGCTTATTACTATGCGGATATGGCTATTGGGTAGTTGAGGTGGGAGCCACCGGAACATTTCCACGTGTTCCTCGGGGTATATTCTCTCCACATCTTCAAATATTAGGAGCACTGGTTTTTGTGCGCTAGCAAAGCGAAGCGTACGCTCCAAACAATACACAGCCTCAGCGTATTCGCAAGCTGAAGTGATGCTTGCTTGGAGGTCAGATTTGCCAAGACGATGAGACAATTCCTGTGCGACATAAGCGATAGTCGATTGCAGCGCACAAGAGATCGCGGTTATCTTTGCACAGCATGCAACTACGATGGGTGTAAACGAGGTGGAGTTTTGACCGTCACCCACACTTTCGCTTAATCCAGTTTCCTAAAAGAGAGACAAATGGATTATTGGAGGATGTTGCTATTTGTCAGTTACTTATTAATCTCTCAAGATTGAACAGTATCCAATAAAATGCGTTATTCAACATGGATCAATCGCATATCGCAACAAGTAAGGTACACCGTGGTTGTGCTCTCATCACATCGGGAGGCCTTTTCATTTTTTGGCAAAATGCACAATAGTTAACACAAGCAGCTTTACCAAAATCGTAGATAAGCGATTCTTTTGGTTGTTGAACGATAAAAGTTTGCTGTTCGCCTCATGCCTACTCAGTGGCAAAGTGAATAGCTGTCGTCCAGCCACAATGAGACAAAGAGGTAGACCGACACGTATGTCTAACTCGTTGTGACTCACAACATTACATGTTAACGCTTGGAGACATCGACTACTCCTCAGGTACATGTTGCTTCAATTGCTGAACGGGGCACCACGAACGTGATCGCATATGGAATAGCGGTGCAATTCTCACCGAATACTCGACCAGTAATAACTACACACTTTCGGTAAGAGTGATACTTCCTCCAATGCACTTGTGCAGACCAAAATAATGCACGCTCGCCGGCTAGAAATAATGCTTAAGTTCTCGTAAGTCCATAAAATGAAGACTGCTAGCGACGTGTGAAACGCCATTATGCTACTACCTTAGTAATCCACACTACCGAAAAAAGGCAATTGCCAAATGTGCGCACAACTTAAGGAGGGATATCGCTTTTTCCAGACCTTGACTGACATGTTATCCCTCTTGAACGACATAAGTCAGGAAGAATGCTATCGCAGACCATTTATCATATGACAATCTAACAATAAGCCTGCGCTCTTCCACAGGTTCCCGCCGCGTGAGACATTTTACTTTGTTTAGTAGAATACTTAACTCAGCCGGGTGTACCTTGCACAGTAGCTGTACTGGTCACGCAGTGCTTGTTACCAACAGCTGAGAACTGAAGAAGCAGCAAAAACCAAGAGGGTAAGTTGTATTCTTCACAATTAAGATGAACAGCAAAATATTCTTTGTAATCAGAATGGATACGCATGAAACGATCCCCGACACCATCTAATGGACACAATTAAGCAAGGTAACAAGGCTCGATGGAAAAGCAAAGGACAGTTTGTTAACACAGGCTGTCCGAGGCCCTATAATGACGACTACTGCAATTGCCACCAACGTTGCCAACCAGAGAAAGAAATACGTTTCTACAAGATTCACACAGGTCTAGTAGGGCATGCGCAAGTATAGAGATGACTTGTCCCGATGCACTGAAAAGCCGCACTTTGTAATCAACCTGAGACCCATCGGCTCATCAGTATCACACTTCACAACTTTTAAGACGATTCGTCGCAGCTAGACTCAGCCAGACAGTGACCACACCTCCAGCACAGCGTTAGACGGCGGTTTCCTTCTATTCGGACTCCTCAGTAGCGCGCACTTGCCGGATCCATAACTCTAGGGACCAATCCTTTCCTCTACACGTTCCTAAGATGCATGACAGCGGAGGATGAGCCGCACTATATCGCACTTAGATATCAGTCTTGGAAGTCCGCAATCGCCATCCATGGCTCAATGGCATAAGTCGCCGGCTCGTAAGAGTAAGGTCATAAGTTCGAATCCGGCGGCTGCACGCTACTGACTAGCACCAATCAGGCGAAACGGCCGTCTAGCGCTTTCATGTGTGTGTGGTGGCTATCTGGGTGAGTCTAACAGCGACAAATCATTTTGTAAACCCAATAAATCACCTAATATTCACTAATTATTCACAACGTGTTTGAGCAATTGCGAATCATGCGGTTCACCCTTCTGAAAATGCCGGGGCAAGCAAACCTGGTCGTTGCTGGCCACAGTCTTTTCATACACAGTCAGGGTCGATTTCTCGTTTGCTCGAAAAGTAGAATAATGCGCGAGCATCATTTGCAAAAGTGGTGGACAATTTATTTTTGCCTCAAACATCGCACTCTTACAAACATGTGTCTAGCACCCTCCCCCCTTGAACCATGGGATACAGTTTGTGGGGCCGTCTGTCCCCATAGTAGATCAGGAAACGGCAGCACAACCACCCAACCTGCAGATACTCGTCGTGAACACAGAAGCTATAGCCCAGTTATTCACTAATGTATCGTAAGAAGTTCGCGCAGTAACAATCGCTCAGATTCTGTGACGGCACGTCACGACCCAACTCAACTGCTTTTGACAACCCAAATTCCTCTAATGGTCTGTGATTTGTTTACTTCTCCTCGGTAATATCACCTTTTAAATTCGGGCAAATGATTGTGACGTCCTCCTTGGGGATCTTGTCTTAGCAATGAGAGTCTTATAGGTCAATACCATGTGTGGCCATCCATCTGAACTGGCTTCCTCCTTATTGTGACCGCTTGAGATGTAATCAGGAATGCACTCCGACAGCTGCGTTGTCACCATTATCGCCGCACCTTGATCCAAGTGGTCACTCCAGTTGTGCATCAGTTCACTGTACTGGAACATGTTTGCGTTAAAAACGAAAAGTCTTCCAGAGAATATACCAACGGTTTCATTGAAGTACCTGTTGGACCGTGATGTGCTTTACCTACACTGACTGATTGTTTTATGTTACGTTCACGGAATAATCTATCTGAGACCTAGGTAACGGTGAATAGATGCCCCCATGCAGCCATATTCCGGCTAACAGGTAAACCCTCGATCGAATTCCGCAGTGTAGATGCGCAGATATGTGTCCTCTTCTACGCTCCTCCTCCGTGTAGGCTTATTCGTCTTCGTCGACTATGAGGTTCATCATGAAATGCGGACTGTTCGCATGAGTATCAATGCGGCTGCGTCGAATCGTTTGATGTGAATCATGTCACAGCACTGGGTGGACCACATGAATGCACAAAGGGTCCGTTTCTAGGCTGATTTCCGAGGTTTTCTCTGATCCTTTCAAGGCACAATACTATTTTGTTCAACTGGAGAACGAAGGGCAATTTTGTGCAACTGTCTCAACGTCAGTTTTGCGGCAACAACTTGTCAAACACACTTGTCATCAAATGAATTTAATATAACAAACTGTCGTTTGTGTACTGGACGCGATTTCCTACTGGATTTCGCTTAGCCATTCATCATCTTAGTATTTACTGCAAGCTGCACGTGTCCCAACCGCCTGCTTCATTCGGGTCGCCGGAGAGTTTCACCAGCAGGTGCTTACTTAAGAATGTATCGCTGTTTGAGTGTGTACATACTTTTCGCACTGTGATTACATCAAACTCCTTATCCCCGAATTTCCGATGGCATCCGGTTTGCATATCTCCCATTCCGGCACCCCCGCCATTTAGTAATCGTGCCAACGACAGTCAGCTCTATCTTCAACTGAATAAATCCACAATATGGATCATTAGCAAAGCGATGCGACCATGGTTAAGCGGGGGCGCTGGTGTGATTGTCACTGTGCCTCGCCACTTCCGTTACGATGGAATGATGTATATATAACGCATTTGAAAGTAAACGTTTAACGGTTTTCCGTACGTAAGGAGTGAGGTCGAAACTGGATGTATCAAAAGAAAAATGGACGCGTAGCGTTGTGATGCATCCGAGAGGGTTATTGAGCGCACACTGTCCACTACTTGACAGTTATTCGCGAATGAAATACTAGGCTCGCGACGCACCATGCCAATGCTGATGAGGCTTACGGTGCCGTTGACTTTAGTTCAGGAACAAAGAGATTACCGTTCATCGCAGAGTTCTTGTGATGGCGCGATGCTCATAAAGTGTTTTCATAATGAAAAGCGCTACTATCTGTCTAGCACGGGTACCCCCAAAGTATCCATAAACGAGTGAGAACCACACACTCCTCTTACACCAGTATGATGCTCGCTAATTGCAAGTACTTCCTTGTGGTGCACGCTACATTTCCAGTCTGTGTATCGTGATGAACCTGAATTATAATGACGCATGATGCGCATCGAGGCTATGTGGGAAGACTAAGAAACAATCTTACATACCCATCCGTATACCTTGCACCCACTTTACTCCGAGTCACACTGGATATGGGTTGTGTGGGCGATGCAACTCACGCGTCCCATGCTTTATGTGTAGATGCAGATGCCTTATGGCTGTCTCCAGCTGCAGGGAAAGGCAAATCCATACTCAGATACTACCAATTACTATCATCTTTCTACTAATAGAGAATCATCACTACCGTATGCGCCGAGATGTTCGTTATCCAATGTCGACTAACTAACTGAGGTAACTAAGCACCATAGATCTCTGTGCTGACGAGTTAAAAGGCAGTGGCGAATCTCTGGTATCGCCACACATTGTAAAGGTACGCACAGCTTACTGGATGATCGACCCATCTAGAATAACTCAAATGCGTAAGATTACGGCGTCTTGAATGACCTGTCGCGAATACACACAACTTGGAATCATTAGGCTGCAAGAAACATGACTCCATAAAGATGTTGAAGACGCCGTGGTTGCAACTGACCGTTTTATTTGTTTTCGTGCTGATCGCCCATGCACCTACCGGCGGTGTCAACTATTATTAATGCTTCTTGGTGCCTATCAATGACAAGTCTCTTCCGCTACTTGTCAAAATGGATCAACTATTTGGTCCTAAAGTGCAAGCTAAAATATTTGAGTGGGTACCGTTTCATGTTACTGGCCAATATCTATATATCCCTCAGTTGTCCCAACTCAGAGATTTTTACGATAATTTTACGGCCGCTGTTACTGGGAAAATCGACTAGCCACTGTGCATATTTGTAAGTGATTTCAATAGGTTTGACACCCCATTTTTCACAACTCTCGGGCTACAGAATGTTATAAAATGTCCCATCAGTTTAGTAGCAACCCTGGAGTTTGTAATCGTCAGCAATTTAAAATTATTTCCGGTCTGCAATCGGGCACTACTTGGCGGTTCAGATCATTCTGTACTCAAGCATTCCCCTGTTGTCTGTAGTAAGACAAATCATACGAATGCCACTCAATGTGATGATCGTAGACGGAAATGAAAAGATTTGTT